CACTATCCGGTATATAAATAACACTCTTCCGACTCGCAAAAACCTTCTGAAATGGGGAATATCACCAACATCCGAATGTTCGTTTTGTTTGAATCCAGAATCACTTCTTCACGTCGTCGCTGGATGCAAGACCTCCCTAAATGAAGGACGTTTCACGTGGCGTCATGATTCGGTGCTTAACTTCATAGCATCCATACTTAAATCTGTGAACCATTGTAACCTTTATGCTGACCTTCCTGGCTATATCAGTCCATCTGTTATCACCGGAGATGAATTGCGCCCTGATCTTTTAATAACACTTGAAAACAAATGTATTTATATACTTGAACTTACCGTCGGATTTGAATCTAATCTCCTCACTAATGCAACTCGAAAAAGACAAAAATATCAAGATCTAATTAACGAACAGCTCAAAAATTATGAAAAAGTGAAATTTGTAAATTTATCGATTAGCTCATTAGGAGTTTTCAGCCGCCCGTCGCTAGATTTCACCGAAATGCTGAAAGATCTAAAGTTTGATGAACAATGTAGAAAGTACTATGTTCGGAAAATTATTAATATATGTATCAGGTCCTCGTATTATATATTCTGTAAGCGTAACAAAGAATGGGATAACCCACAACTAATGTCATACTAATATTGTTATTATGTAGAGTGTTAATTCAAGTAGACACTGGTAAACTACCTGTAAAGAGAGGTTTATCATTGTAGTGTGTATATATATATTATTGAAAGTAATAAAGTTTCCATTATTATTATTATTATTGCCTCAGTCCTCTTCTTTTTAACATGTGCTTCAATTAATATATTAATTCAGCATATCAAGGCTGAAAAGTACCGTCAATTTGGGTTTTCCTTCAAATTACCAAATCCCATCCACTGGTTCCAGTTTGCTGATGACGCGCCTGTAATTATTGGCCAAGAATCCGAAAACCAACATCTATTAAATCGATTTTCTATCTGGTGCCAATCGTCCGATATGATTATCCGAGTTGACAAATGCAGTACCTTTGGCATTAAAAAAGCGATCACAGAATCAGTCCAGTACTTGCCAAAACTCCTCATCAGCAATCAACTAATACCAAAAATCACCACTGGAAAATCATTTCGATATTTCGGACGTTACTTTTATTTCCACATGTCGAATGATAATCATAAAACTGAACTAACAACCCTACTTAATGAACTAATGACTGATATATATTGACTCAAAGCCACCACACCCCAAAAATAAACTGCTCCTCTACAGTCGCTACGTCTTGTCCAAGTTAGCCTGGCACTTTACCGTCGCAACACTCTCTAAAACATGGGTTATTGAAAATATCGATTCTATTGCCAACAAATATATCCGCAGATGGCTTGAAGTACCAATATCAGGAGCACTAAGTAGTGTCTTTCTAACAAATACCAAATTTGGCCTGAGTATTTAGCCTCCATCCGTAAAATTTATCCAGCGTCAAGCAGTCCTCCGAAAAGCTTTAAAATCTTCTCCTAATGAATCAACTAACGACCTGTGGAGAGCAACCAGTAACCATACTAATATCCAATATGACGCTTATAACTCTACTAAGGAAGTTCTCAAAGATTTCCGTTCTAGACACGAAAACAAACTCCTAAACCAATTAACCAGTCAAGGATCCTTTTTCTGCAGCGTAAAGAAGTTCGCTTTACCTCAGCTTAACAAGGTGTGGTCCATCGCCCAATCAAAGCTCCCGAAAAACATTTACAACTTTACCATTCGTTACATTAACAACTCTCTTCCAACGTGCAAAAACCTAAACAGATGGGCAATATCTTCAAATTCAGACTGTTCTTTTTGTCTTAGCCCTGAAACATTACTACACATAGTAGCTGGTTGTCAGTTTTATCTCGACCGATTTACGTGGAGACACAATTCCGTCCTGAACTTTTTTGCTCATACTTTACAAACTGTTGGCGATTCTACTCTCTACGCTGATCTAAATGGATTCAAAAGCCCTTCAATACTTACTGGTGATACGTATCGCCCATTATCGTGCTCAAATGGTTCCTTATATGTGGTTGAACTCACCACTGGTTATGAGACAAACCTCAAAAACAACGTAAAACGGAAGAAGGATAAATATAGAGAATTATTGAGACAGCTAGGTAAAAATTTTAACCAAGTTAAATTTATAAATCTCTCCATCAGCTCTTTAGGTGTTTTTGCAGAAGAATGTTATACATTTTTAGACATGTTAGATAGTATTGGTCTTGACAAAAACCACCAAATGTACTGCGTTAGGAAAATGATGACTATTGCTATTAGAACTACATATTACATTTTTTGCTGCCGAAATAAGGAATGGGAAAATCCGGATTTACTAACAATTTGACTTATCTCATTGTATATATATATATATATATATATTGCATGCACTTTGTTCTGTTATTTTTGTTTAGTATAATTGTGATTCAAATAGCCAACCGTAAGTTACCTTTATGAGAGAGATTTACGATTGTATATGTATGTAAAGAAAGACATTTAATAAAGTTTTCATTATTATTATTAGGATACTGAGCCATGAAAGTCGGTCCCAAAAAATTTGGCACCCCCCCCCAGAAATTTTCGGAATGTGCGCCCCTGTACTCATTCCTATAAGATGTTGTATTAATGGCAGTACAAGCACTCGCGGAAACGTACCGCGCCTTTCCCAACGAAAAGCACAGCAGTTTCAAGAAGGATTGACGTGATAAACTGTTTCAAGAGATGCACATGGAACTGTGGCAAACTCTTTCAAATACAGTTAGTTTAACTTTCAGATCAGATTCAACTTTTAACGCGTGGAACTACAGTTTCAATTCTGCCGCATTTATAGTAATCTTTGATTTCAGCACGCTGTAATATAGACTATGTGAGGAAAATATTTTCCGCCAATTACACTTGCCCACGCAAATGACGTCGGCAACAATGCGATCGACCTATTTATTCCAAAAAACCTTGGAAAGAATGCCATTTTCATACGGGCTCGCAATGATTTCGTTCGTCTATACACGAATCGCGAAATTGCGCATCCAAAATGCCGCGTTCTGAGTCTGGCAAAGCCCGAATTCAAAGAAAAACATGTAGCTGTGACTGGATGATTTAAAATATGCGTATTAAAGTATTGAAATGTTCAGTCATCCATTCGTGTTGTATTGTAGTAATGTGTAATCATGGGTGCATGAGTGAACATTTAAATACTTAAATACGCATATTTTAAATCATCCAGTCACAGCTACATGTTTATCTTTAACTGGGATTTTTGCCCGAATTTCGCGATTCGTGTATACCTTGTGCTGCAAAGTGAAAAAACTTGCATCAAATTTTGACATCGAATTAGAAAAGTTTAAAGTCAAAAAGCATTTTAAACAAGAAACGTTCGGAAGTTGGGTTTGCTTTTGTTCGCAAAGCGTAGGAGGTAAAAATTACCAACTAACTTTTGTCATGACGAATAATAGATAGCTTAAAATCTACGACGTCGACGTGAGCTAGGACGTCAGGGCTAAGCAGAGGACTGGGACTAGGACAACCACCAAAGATCGTAAAATATTTACATACAATGCGAGATACAATGTTCCATTACTCCCGCCATTATAATTCGACCATAAAATTTATCACTGACTGTTCTGATTGCGGCCGAAATGCATCAGTCAAAAGCGCATTATTTTGATCGCGGGATAAATGCATCAGTCAGCATCCATTTCCCAACGTTACGTAGGCATGAAAACAATGGTTTTCGTGACGTGTCGTTGGCGAAACTCGGCCAAAAGACTCTGGACCGATGCGCCACTGATGCACTTTTCTCCCCAACGGGACGTAGTGATGTACCGCCGGCCCCAACGTGACGTAGTGATGCAACCACTGAGCTGTAATAATAGTGGATGCATCAAACTAAACACCGACATATGTGGCGAAATAAAGTCACGACACGAAACCGTACAACTTGAGAACAGTAGCGTAACGGAGGAACACGGGGCCCTTAGGCATATTTTGTGTCGGGGGCCCTTTTGTCATACATCGTTAGTGAAGAAACGCACCGTACGTGTCTCACGGCGCGACCTTCCTAGGGGGGTCGGTCAAGGGGCATGCCCCTTCCCCCCGAAAATTTTTGAAATCTAGAACCTGTGTAATGCTATATATATATATATATATATATATATATATATATATATATATATATATATATATATATATATATATATATATATATATATATATATATAT